TGCGGAAGCAGCTGCAGGCTTGGGGCTTGGGCTGTAACAAAAGCCCTCAACCCTAAACCTTCAAGGCTAGGGTGTATAAAGTTTATACGGGAGTGTGCAAGGCACCCCTAAAAGCGGGAACTGCTTAAACTATCGGGCTCCCTAAGACTTCGCTGGGCCCTCGGTGCATAAGCCCCCCATGAACCCCGAACCCTTGAAGACTTGAAGACTCTTTACTTAGAAGGGCATTTTGGAGGCGATCGATTTGGATCCGGTGCAAGGGCCCCCCACTTGGGGTTGTTAACTGTCATCCGGCGTCTTTCAGATACCCTCAATGTCCTCATGAAGGTACACTTTGGGAATCTTTATTCAGGGGTGCTTGGGTTTGGAGTCTACACATAACCTGCCAGGAGGAGCTTCGAAACGGCCCTGCCCCTTCGCAAAGCAGCCCGCTGAACCCTTCGCTGGTCTCTGCGGAAGAGGAGAGTGAAGCCCTGAAGCCCTAAAACCCTACATGTGAACCTAAACCCTAAACCCTAAACCCTGAACCCTGAACCCTGAACCCTAAACCCTAAACCCTACCTTAAATGAACCCTACCTATATGAACCCGAAACCCTAAACCCTATGAACCCATGAGTGGAAGATGCCAGGAGCTCCTGGGTAGGGCGCAAGGCATCGCAGAGGCGGGGGAACTCGACTCCGCCACGGCGAGCTCGTCCAGGTCCGGGGACTAAATGAGCTGGGCTTAGGATTAGGGTTTAGGGTTCAGGGTTTAGGGTTTAGGGGTTAGGGTTTAGGGTTGTGCCAGGCTCAAGGTGCACGCGGTGTTTGTGTCGACAATGCATAAACCTGAAAAGCCTTAAAGCCTTAACCCTAACTAAGGCCTTCGGAATCCTAAACCCTAAACCCTAAACCCCAAGGAACAGCCATTCCGCTTTTCTCTCGAAGATCCAAGGGAGAGCCCGCCGATCGTCCTCAAGAAGCTCAGCTCCTTCCCTCCGCTGCACCCAAAGGACTCGAAGGATAGCGCCGCCCCTAGGGTTTGGGGTTTAGGGTTTGGGGTTTAGGGTTCGGGGTTTAGGGCTGGGGGTTTCGGGTTTGGGGTTTGGATTTTAGGGTTTAGGGTTTAGGGTTCTGAGGAGGGGGTAGCTTGTCCGAGTCTGGGCTCAAAAGGGGCTTTGGCGTGAAAGGTAACACACACCTCGACCTTAAACCCTCAGCCGCCTAAACCCATAAAGGTGTCCTGGTTTGGTGGGGTGTTTGGGCATTACTGTAGGATAAACTGTAAACCCTGAACCCCAAACCCTAAACCCTAAACCCCCTATATATACATATATATATATATATATTAAACCCTAAACCCTAAACCCCCTATATATATATACATATATATGTTGAGGTTCGCATGTGAGGATGTGCCTAAAGGGCCTTTCGGGTTTTTCATGCCTGCGAAAAGGGCGTGGTTTCAGGAGGCCCATGGAATCTTGCGGACTTCGGGTTGTTGTTGTATAGGGGGGTGAATTAGGGTTGAGGGTTTAGGGTTTAGGGGCTTTAGGATCTAACTCTAGGGCGAATTAGGTTGTGAGGTGGAGGGTGATAGGGTTTAGGGCTTCTTGCTTTCAATGCCTTGGGCTGCTGTTCATCGAGCAAAGCCCTGCGCACACGGGCCACGGAAGGCCCCAGGAGCCTTAAACTTGTTGCGCTGCGCACCAGCCACTCGCTGACCCAAAGGGGGTCAAGCTGTCAAACGCATCCTGACTTGAGGCTTGCAACCTCCACCAGCGATTGAATTTTCGGTTTGTCCCTAAAAGGTTCCCTCAACACCCTAAACCTGTTGTTGTTGGGGTTTTGAAATGCGGCTGGGAGAGGTTGTGATTTGAAACTTGACCTTGCGATAACTCCCGCATCCTTTCTGAGTGGTTCGTCCAGCTCTGCGGGTGCCACAAGACGCCTAACCAAAAACAAAAATCTAAAACCCTAAACGTTTAGGGTTGAGGGTTTAGGGTTTAGGGTTCAGGGTTTAGGGTTTAGGGTTTAGGCCTAAACCTCAGTTGAAAGGTTCGGGGTGTCATCCGGCCTGTGGGTGTCGCGGGCGTGAGCCACCGAACCTGCCAAGCGCTTCAGGGTTTAGGGTTTAGGGTTTAGAGTTTAGGGCTTAGCGCTTAGGGTTTAGAGCCTAGGGTTTTCGGGTTTAGGGCTTAGCCGAGCACGAGCCTCTCAAAGGCTAATCAGGTTTTCTATTCAGATTCAGCAGCTTTCCTCAGTTGCCATTTTAACCGTCAACCTGAATCCTAAACCCGAAACCCTAAAACAAAAACGCCGAATCCCTAAACCCTGCCCAGATAAGCCTACTCCTACACCTCTAAGTGACACCGCCTGGACCCACAGCACGCCCAGATTTGAGGTTTTGTCATAGTTCAGGACTGAGTGGAGTTGTCGCTAATCCCTAAACCCTAAACCTGAACCCTAAAACCCTAAAACCCTAAAACCCTAAAACCCTAAAACCCTAAAACCCTAAAACCCTAAAACCCTAGAACCCTAAAACCCTAAAACCCTAAAACCCTAGACCCCTAAACCCTAAACCCTAGAACCCTGAAACCCAAGACCCAAGTGACGACAGGACTCCACCCAGCCAGCGCGCCCACGTGGCGGGGCCCAGAGACCAAAGCTCGCAGAGACTGAGATGATAGCTCTTAGTAGCCCAGTGGTACCCTGCACCCTTTTGGTGGTTCTAGGTTTCCTTTATAAAGAAGCAAACCAAAAAAAGGTACCCTTACTATAAGATGTTACTCGGGCAGGTAGTCTGGGGCCTTACTGGGCCTGCTTGGATTTTGGGTTGAAGAAACGTATGCAGGGGCGGGCCTAGTTGTGACTAGAAGGATTATGATGGCAGTTGAGATCATGGACATCATCTACATGATCAATGTTGGGGTTGTAACGGCGTCATATTGGTGGTTATCTAGCCTGTATGTGATCACCAAGTGACGAATCAAAGCCACATGTCGCGTCTGGGACTTACGCAGTAGCAAGTGATCTAACGTTCCGCACACCCGGATGGGCAAGCCTAAGATGAAGGCCTCATAGGGTTGATTCTGGTAATTGTCAGATTCGAAGACCTAATAAGGCGAATTTCAACAGGCCCAATAGCCCATGCTAGCAGAACTTTTGAACCTTTCAAGCCTTTTTTTTCGCTTCAAGAGCGACTGGAGCCGGTGGGTCTTGACTTTGCACAAGGTAGGCCGCACAAGAGCTCCCTAAACGAAGGAATGGGTGCAGGCTGCCAAACAAGGGTCAGAATCTCACCACGAAGGTTTGCAAGCTGTTTGTTCGCACAGCGACAGAGAGACAGTGAGAGAGACAGAGGCAGAGAGAGAGAGAGAGACAGAGACAGAGACAGAGACAGAGACAGAGACAGAGACAGAGACAGAGACAGAGACAGAGACAGAGACAGAGACAGAGAGAGAGAGAGAGAGAGAGTGAGAGAGAGATCCGTTTTAAGAAGCCATCTTCAAAACACGTGCCCGTTCTAAAACGCCTTCCTTCCTTCTCCCCGTAGACACTCAGCCGAAAAATCCCAAACCCTGAACCCTAGGCAGCCTAAACCCTAAACCCTCAACCCCATAAATCTAAGGAGCCAGATTCGGGGCAGTTCGTGCTGCCTGAGCCCAGCAGCCGAGCTGCAGCCCACGTGGAGGGCCGGGCCCTGCCTTCGGCGCCGAAACCGGCGCCGGCTGAGCCAACTCTGAGGGGAGGCCCGAGCCTAGGCAGGGTTTGGGGTTTAGGGTTTGGGGTTTGGGGTTTAGGGTTTTGGGTTTTGGGTTTAGGGATACTTTCCTGTTTTCCCCTCTTCAAGGAGACTCTGCTATTTCTCCCCCTTCCAGCCTAAGGAGCACACCACTGTCGCCGCGGGCTTCGGTGCTGAAGCAGGAGGCTGGGATCTCCCACGGCCCCTACTACCCTCTACTCCCCCTACTCCTTAGGGGCTTCGGGTTTAGGGTTTAGGGTTTTGGGTTTTGGGTTTAGGGTTTAGGGTTTAGCTGCACCTGGCTCCCTGCCCTGGCGGACATTTCCTGATTGGGCGGCATTGTAGGTTCTGGGCATAGCTCAAAGCATCTCAAGACCCTCGGCCTTACCTAAACTCTCAACCCGAAACCATCAAACCCCTAAGATAAACTTAACAACCCTAGGCCCCCCCCCCCACCCCACAACTCCCGCCTGCAACCTTCCGCCTCCCACCCCCGCGGCCTTCACCTCCTCCAATCCCCATGTCGCCAAACATCTCAAAAACCCGAGACCCTACCCAAACTCTCAACCCTAAACCCTTAAACCCCCTAGAACCTGGGCAACCCTATCCCCTGAAACCCTGAAACATCCTAAGCCCTTCCTGGGTTCTGCAGGTCATCCCACCAGAGAGCGAGCTGGAGCAAGAGCTGCTACGGCGCATCGGTGTCTCCGTGGCCAAGAATCCGAACCTTGGGGGACTAAACGCAGAGGGGGGGGCAGGGAGGTAAGGGGGTAGTAGAGGGGGGTAGGGAGTAGGGAGGTAAGGGGGGTAGTAGAGGGGGGTAGGGGGTAGGGGGTAAGGGGGGTGGGGTAGGTCCGGGTGTGGGGTTTAGGCAACAGGTGTGGAGTTTAGGGTTTGCAGGGTGTATACTGGATGGTTGGGATTATGGCAGAACTCAAACCGCAACCCTCCACCTAGAAATTTTTAATTAGGGTTGATTCAGTCACCAAGGAATGTGGACTCTTGCCGCGACCCCGTCTCAATGCACCTGGACAGGTCTTCGTAGCTTTTTCTTTCGTGTTCTTGAAGCCCGAAACCCTGAACCCTAAACCCTAAACCCTACACCCCAAGAACAACGCAAGGCTGTACATGGCAGTTCACCAGCACATGCGCCCCAGCGACAAGGCTCTTCTTCCCTTGCCCCCCGAGACTGTCCTAGCAACTCCTTTTGAATTTCAGTTGGCTGTTCTACCGGACATTTATGAGTTTTTGTGTGGAGTTCCAAGAACAGTCAAGGCACTTTGATGATTGGCTGTGCCCTGACGGTTGCTTCTGCGCGGCGGTGACGCTATGCGGTATGAGGGTGCAGGGCACACCAGGGCCCAACAAGAAGGCTGCCAAGCAATCGGCTGCAATGGCTGCATTAAAGGCAGCTTGCGACGCCTCGCGCGGGCGGCTGGCGATGTCACTGGATGAGATGGATTAAAGCCGGCCATCAAAAGGCAGCAGCTGGACCAGGTTGGACAATCCTGAACATGGGCCCCTACCCTCCCTTAAAGGGTTCTGATGTATGGGCGCTTAGTTTGTATTCTGCAAGGGGTATATAGCGGGTAGCCTTTTCAGGGCCCCATACTAATGGGTCATGCAGCTACCATGAGATGTCCATCACAAACGAGTCGCAAGAACTAGCAAAGCAAGACATGAACGGCAAGCGTGTCTAAATCGATCCAGATGCTTGCTACTCTTGGTGGGGCGCTCGCTCCAAATTGATCTGGCTGATACAGGAACCTGTGCTATCACAAAAAGTATTTTGGTTATTTTGCACATAGTGTGCTTATATCACAAGAGGTATTTTGGGTATTGTACACATACTGCGCATACATCATTTAAAAGCAAAAGATAGCTTTGGCAGGCAGCCCAGGCGTCATATGGGGGTTTCCGAGAACACGGTGCTTTTAATGTAGAACACAAAATAGTAGGATTCCCTTAGAATAAGGACCCCAAAAAGGTACCCCTAAACCCCTAAACCCTAAATCCTAAACCCTAAACCCTAATCAGGTACCCCGAATATGGAAACCCCCATATCCATGCCGAAGGGTGCACGTTCGTCGAAGACAGAGAAGCCTCCTCGGCTGTTCGCTGGTGATGTGCCTGTCAAATGGGGGTTTCCGAACTTAAGGGTACCTTTTTAGGGTTTTGGGTTTTTGGGGTTTTTGGGGGTTTTGGGGTTGTTGGGGTTTTTGGGGTTTAGGGTAAGGGGTACCTTATTGCGGTCCATATTACTCCCAAATGTCTGGCATTTGTGTTGCACGCTTGTGTTGCACGCAACACAGCTGCAAGAAGGCTGTCCTTTGTCCACGCAAGTCCCAGCTTCCTAAATTACTATTTGCTGGAACCCCAAAAGAATAAGAAAAAACAATCCCTATGTTAGCCTAAATAAGGAAGATTTTTTTTCGGGGTTCCTAAACAATTAGGAGTTAATGACGGTGCTCCAGACAGACCCTGCTCTGAAAAAGCACTGGCCATGCCGTGTTTTCGCACTAGCTTATCTTACGTATTGCAAGACTTTTGGGGAAGTTCTATTGAAATCCCCCTTGGCATAGGAGGAACGATGAACGGGATGTATAAGGCGACGGGGCACTACATTCTGGCATATATTCAGAAACACCTTGTGCCTGCATTTTGGCCATCGCCAGGGTTTCGATC